TCATTTGGGGTCAGCTGAGCAAAAGTATAAAACAAAACCAGAACTACGACCAGCCATAAAAAACACATTTTCCATCTATGAAAAATTGTCAACTTGACCATTTAAAACCACCAAAAAAATTGTGTACTTTTATCTCTCTCACCATCTATCTCTTCTCTTTCATTTTTTTTCTGAGAAAAGTAAGAAATTACATAGAAACGCGACTGCAGTTGACAAAAGCCACAAAAGTGTAACAATTTCGTTGTAGGCGCACATTTAATTGTCTCTATGGTTCTTTTTCCCTTTCCTCCAAAAAGAACTTAATTGTGGCGGGCAACAGGGCATGCAACGATGAAGAGGGGTTGAAGATATAGAACAAGAGAAAGGTTCTGTAGAGGAAGAAGATTATACTATGTCTGGGCATTAGTACCACGGAACACCACAGTCAGGTTGCAGTCATTAAAAGGTCTCTATTTTATTAAATACACTTACAGGTTCAAGTTTAAAGGTAGATAGGTGTACCTGTGTTATTATAAGCTTTGCAAGTTCCTAGAATTATATTTAGGATACAACGTTCTTGAAATAGAGTAAGAGCTTAAAGAACAAATCAGCTAGGAAACTCCAGAAGAGATTAGGCTAATCTCGAGGATTACAGCAGCGTATTGTAAAGACGTAGTATACAATGACATCCATTAATCATAAAGAAAATATCTTTAAACTGTTAGTTTACCCACCTATACTTGTTAGAAAGTTTATAAGAAATATACAAGTAATATATATAGACTATAGAATATTTGAAATTCAAAGAAAGTTGGTAAAAGTTATAAGCCCAAAGAAAGACACAAGTTTTTTAGCCATAAAAATATGATTAAATCTACAACGTGTCAAATGGATTGCTGAAGGAAGATCAAAACGAAATGATCACTGGCAATTATAATGCAAATTAAGCCAATGATGATATCTGCAATGATCAAAGTATCGTTGAAAAGTATCACATGCTTTTTACGGAATGATTATATACAGGGAGGGAAAGGTAGTAGATCGTTGGCATAAAGTGCAAATGTGTCGCATAAGACGATCATGTAACGGTGGACCTTACTCAACCCCACCCAAAAACTTGACAGTCCGTAAAAAAAATAAAAACAAACACGAGTTGGGCGTTTATAAAGCGACCAGTTCCATTTACGCCCCTTACATAATCTAAAAAAGCGAGTACAGTGATTATAACTACTTATAACTGTAACTGTAACTAGTATATATGCATGGACTGGTACGGGTAATAGCATACACCAAATTATGATTTATTTGAGTCGGTCAAGTTTTAGCATTGCAAATGTTTACTTTATACGGTCATCTTATATCTCAACAATTTACTTTCAATTTAAACATTTCTAAATGCTTGTAACATTAGATATCAAACATAAAAATTTGTAGCAGCTAGGTGATATGGAATAGTAAACAAATCTAAAGGGATTCAAGTATTTTTCTATGTGTGTCAGGCGGGGGTTGATCGATGGTTTATATATTGTATCCTGGCTCACTCAGCGGGGCAGCACTTGAGCCTGCCTCAGATGAGATCTGAACCCCAGATGAGATCCCTTTACAGGAACCTTTGTTTCCTGGTTAGCTGTAGCTCTGTGTGTTATATGTGGCACTATGTGAGCGTGACACAATAATGCTGGGAGATCGGAGGAAGGGATATGCGGTTCAGGGACACAGAGATCTACTACCTGCTACCTACTCTTCTACCTGTCACGGTTACAGTTTCTTTCTTATCCTGGGAAATATCTAAATGCTTGTGCAACTATTACCCATTGCCCGATTCCGAACTCCATTCCCAGTCCCTTCGCCTGCCCCATGTTGTCACAAGTCTCGTTAAACATTTCGCTTTAATTTAATTGAATTTCCTCCGCCGACGTGCTCTTGTTGTTTTTTCTGTTTAACTTAATTATGTCAGTCAGCGCGTTGCAAGCATTAACCCTAACGTGCCGCAATTGTTTTACGCTCGAGTAAGAGACTCACACGGGCGGAGGGTTAAGGGGGAAGTTTTTTGTTTGTTGGGGGAGTGGGCGAGGGTGGTGGTGGTGTCTCCTTTAAAGTGCGGAAGTGACAAACATAAGTAAAGACAAAGGCACTGTAGCCAGTTCACTCTTGAAAATATTTCACATTTATCTATAAAGAAATTCCACATAAATAAAACTAGTATGCTAATCAATTCGAATGAGGCTGCGATTGATCCGCCAAGGGGATGATATAAAAGAGCACTGAACAAAATGATTAGGCTTTCGTTATGTTACAATGTGTATTATTATAAATTTTAGTAAAGGTTTTCGGGATTTTCGGTCAATGTAAAGTTAAATTAATAATGCTTTTGTTTTTGCTTTCCAAACTTTATCTAACGTTATGTATAATATAAATATCTAGTAAATATTTGGTTAGAAATCCATAGTTCTTTAACTTTTTTCTTCGTGTAATATACTCGATAGTGGTTTGGGGGGCCTTAACAACAACAGCAAGTATGCGCAGCTGCGGTGATCGAACAAATCTCAATGTTGCTAACCAGCAACAAACATCCGAAGCCACAACAACAGGTTGAGCATAAATTATGATCAAAGTTAAAATTTTTTCAATTTATCCGTCTCTTCTTCTTCTCTGGCCGACTTATAGCCGTATAGTTGTTACTGTTGCTTTGAAGGGAAATTTTGTTTTTGGGCATTTTTTTTTGGTTGGTTTGGTTTGGTAACTTTCACAAGCACATTTATTCATTTGTTGGCCAGAAAAACAGAAACAGGGGCAGCGGCAAAGGGGGAGTCCCAGTTTTCCCTGGCAGTTTGTCGCCTAAGTCATTGGTTTTTCGTTTTTTGGTTTCGCATTTCCTCTAGCCAGTTCTTTTTCATCTTCATCTTTCCCATCTTTCGGGGCTGCTGGCCCACTAAAGCCTCTTATGTAACCCAAAATCAGACTGTCAAGTCATGGCAAAAGACTAAGTGATTCGCTTAAAAATGGCCGAGATGCGGGAGACTCGATAAAAATGGGGGAGAAAAAGATTGGGCAAAGATTGGAAATATCAAAAAATAGGTTGTTAGACAAAGGTAAAAATTATACAATGGTAACTTGTAGAAAATGTAAGAGATTTTCAATGTTATTAGAGCTCGCAAGAGTTCACTTTATTAGCTAATTTTACTTATAATATATATTCTACATAGTTAGGGTTGTATAGTTTTTAAGTGTAGACTGTATCAATGTAATAAACTATAATTAGTCTTCTTAGTTTGCATCAGGATAACCCGTCACGATTTTTCCCATCTTTCACTTGTCGTGGATCCATCAGATGGCTATATATCACCGCCAGAATGACCGGTGGACACCCACATAGTCAAATGGTCGAACATAAAACGCCCTCCTCTTCTTTCCACTTCCGCTGGAGAAACACGTGGGCTTGCACCACTGACTTAACCACTTAACCACTGGAACCACCCACATATAGTAGGCAATATAGACTAAGTTAAATTCGATTTTTGTTTTTCCCGCCTAATTGGTTCACTTTACATCAGATGTGTGAGTGTGTGTGTGTGGGTTGCAAGTGGGCGTAGGTCAGTAGTAGCTTTAGTTTAATCAATAGATTTAGTAGATTCGGTAGCACGTGCTAATCGTCATCTTCCGGCTATGACAAAGAGGGTGAGGGGAAGAAAATAATAGAAAGAGAGGAAGAAGGGGCCCCACTAATGACTTCCTATTTTGGTGAACTTGTCAATTGGCCATCGATGTGGGGATTAATTAGCCTGTAAATGCCCAAAAAGACAGGAAATAATTTCCTTTCCTCTGCTTTGTGCATGGTGTTTCCATATTTTTCTAATTTTCACCTCTTTGCTTTGGTTTTAAGGCTTCCTGTTCTTTTCCAGCTAAGTATATTTTATGATTTTTAATATTCGATTTTATAGCCTAGGATAAGTGGCCCGCTTAAGAAGATGAAGGATTTATATTAATGATTATTATGTCTTGATGTTCATGGAATATGATTATAAGTACAAAACCCCTTAAGATCATCCACTTTACTTATTAACTTAATGAATACTTTGGCATTTCCGAAAGTTTATTGTTGGTGAATCATTGCGCAGTATTTGATTTATTTACTATAGCTTGATCGGCCAACTTTTTATTATCCCTCTATACCCATGTAGTATACATACAAAATATACACACATCTGTGGTCAGTTGAGTCTCTAATACCATTATTTTTTTTTTCGGTTAACCAAGCATTTCTTTTTGGTTGGCCAAAAAACAGGCTCGTGCCCAGAGCTTGGGGATTTGGGGGCCTGTGGGTATTGCAGCTGCTTGGACTGGACATTATGGGTGGCTAAGATTTCTAACTGTTTGCTGACCGGTTTTTATTTTTGGAGTTGCTCCAAATTGAATCGTACTTTTTGGCATTAGAAGGGAGCGGGGCTTTCACTGGCCGATTGTTAATTACAGCCCTTGGGACGGCTTAATTGATAGATCTGCGGCAGGGGGCCATGATTCATCCCAGGTGAACTCTGACTTCAAAACGAAATCAACAACGAAGAAAACGAAAATCACCGAAAAGGCCGCCAAAAAGTCGAGAGATCGGAGAGAAACTCCAGACGGGTTTTCCAGTCTTGATCGGTCTGCTTCGGCCACCCAGTCTCAAAAGCCTGTCCCAAGCTAAAGACCCGCGTCTGAGAAGTCTAAGATTTGGCTGGGTTTCGGCTGGCTTTTGCAGTTTTGTGGCTGTGACTGTGGCCGGGTACGAAACTGGTTTTTGGCCAGCATTTTGTCGCGCGACTTTTGGACAACTCTCTTGAGTCTTTGAGCCTTTGTCTAAACACACACACAAGATCTCGTCGGCAAGATGGCGTCGTCTTAACCGGTTTGGGCCTCTCTTTTGTTATACACACAGAGATTTGATGGAGATAGCCTGGCAAAGCCCCTTCCCAGTCCCCCAATCTTTGCTCTCTTCTCTGTTAGCCAAGTTAATAATGCTCGCCCGTTCTCTTTTGCAGGTCTTATGGCACTTGGACGCCTTTCGACGATCGTTTCGCGGTTTAAATCAACATGTATGCGGTGGCCAAGACTGTATCTTCTGCGCTCTAAAGGTGAGTTCGAAAACGAATATTCAAGACACAAACCATTCGAAAATTGTAAGACATTGCTGAGAACAGTTGGTTTAAAAGTAAGATCGTCAAGGAAATATTTTATTATCTTTCAACTGTGAAACGCATTATAATCATATCGAATAGTCTTTTAAATTTAAGCATAAGTTATAGCATTAAAAAGCCTTGTCTTAAATGAAGTTGAGGGTGATCAGAGTTCGTTTGTTGCATACTTTTAAGCTCACAAAAAATGTATCGTCCGTTGTCGGCGCCACTAAATTCTTACTTCTTACTTCGATTATTCGACCATCTCTTAAGGTTTTTCTCTCCGATTTTTGCTGTTGGCCTGGCTAAAACAAAACCGAAAATAAAGTAATTAAGCGCCAGGGTCAGGTCAATTTTCCCAATCGCCTGTCTGGCATTTCCAGATTTTCCGCAGCCGATTTCCGACTGTTTGGCTGCACCTTAATTGCCAACATGCTGTCATGTCTCTGTCTCCGGAAAAATCATTTATTCACACGCAGGCCCTTGCTCATCTGTTCAGCTGCTCAAGTGCGTTTTATGTTTTTTCCCCAGGCTTTGTGCTACGTGTTTTCCAATTTTTATTTTCCCATGGCCTGGGGAAATCCAGGGAAAAAACTAAATCCTTAAATCGGCAATACCCGAAAGTGCAACATTCAATGACTCTACCTGGCAGGCAGGTTCACACCCCCTCCACACCATGTCTTGCATGTCCAGGGGTGTTTTGATCCTGGCCCCGGATAAGTCCTGGAGTCCTGTAGTCCTGGGCCACTGGTCACGCCTCTTAGGACCCTTTTACTGGACCCTCTAGCGTGACAGGCTTTCAACGGCTCGTTTGTCCTGTTCTCACCTCGTTAAACCACGAATTAAACTCGAGTCAGGCGCAATTATGCAAATGCCCGTTGTAAATCATAGAAGGAAGTCAATAAACTTTACTACCCTCCCAAGAGAAAACATAACAGAACACATTTAAAAAAAGTTTGGTAAGATAGTGATTAGAGGAATCCTTAACATAACACCATGCAATATAAATCCATCTTCAAATTGTAACCAAATTTCTATTCATGACAAAATCCTATATTATTAGCCAAAACTGCTTAATAAGGGCTATCTTATTTGCACAAGTACAGGTCATATTTCAGTCGAGATACGGCAGAAATGACTTCTATATTGACTCGCTCCTAATAAACAAAATGCTTAATTATACGAGAAATATAATAGAATCACCAAGTCATCAAAAAGAGATCATGATCAACCGAAACAAAAAAAAAAACCATGGAGACGACTCGATTGCAGTTAGAATTTCCATAAAGAGGAAAAACTGAGTAGAGAAAACTGAAAACAGTCACCCTCTCCAGGCAACTGGTGCAATATAGAAACCAGACCAGCGGACGATGATCGTCATTATCATTATCTTCATGGTGATCATTAGCCAGAAGAGGAGTAGAGGACCCAAACTCAAATCCAAACCCAGAGTAGCATCTTCCATCGTGCTAACCCCTGGGCAAGCGACAAACTCGTGACGTTCGGGAAAAACTCGGGCCGCCAACAAACAAAAGACAACAACGAATATACGCGACTGTACTTTTCGGGCCAAGACGCTCTGGCCACAAAACAGGGTGCTCACTGTGCGCACAGTGGGCCCTCTCTCTCTCTCTCTAGTTCGTTTTCCCCTTCATTTTTCACTGTCTTTTTTGTTCGCTTCTCAAACATCGATGACGACGAAGTGGAAAGTGTTGGTGCCTCTTCTTCGGTTTGTTTTTGTTTGACTGTTTTGTTTTGACTGTTCTACACCTCCATACCTCCATGTTGTGTCCCCCGAATACCCCTGGCTTGGCCCTGGTAACCATGGTTGCCACTTTGCCCACTTGTTTGCTGCCACATATTAAACGAGAAACAAACAACAAAAACGGGCAGAACCGAGAGGGTTTGCCCCTTTTTGTCTTTGCTTTTTTGCATTAATTATACAAAGCCCCAGCTAAATTAATTTTTAGTCCACCTTTCCCGCGGGAAGAAGACTATTTAATTATGAAAATCGTCGCTGAGGACATTGGCCTTTTAGAGCTGGGAAACTCCCACGATTGCGATCGCATTTTGACCGTTCCCCACGCTGATTGTTGCTATAAGAGGGTTAAGAACTTGCCGCGACGGCCGGGAACTTCTTGATGAAAAATCGTCTGGACAGTTTTCTCGGCATTGCCATGCCTCAATGCACAATTCCCATTTAGGGTTTCTCCTGACTTTTCATTATGCATTTCCAGAAACCGAGACATAACCAAAGGACAAAGTCATTAGTGTGAGGTGAGCCAGAAGACAATGTCCTCTTTACCAGGAAAATGCTCTATACAGATCTTTCGAAAGTCCAGACCGCAGACCCTTGATCGTGTGCCAGTTCCATGGGTATCCACTTATCGCCAAGCTCTATTTGCCCTTTAAATATATACGCATATACTCCAGATTTAGATTTTTGGGTACTCCCTAATCTGGGAAGCATCTAAAGTAAGTACAAACAAACAGCCTTTCGGGTTTCGTTTTTTTGTTGTTTTCATTGTTTGCCAAGAGCCGCCATAAAAAAAAAAAACGAAATTACCATGAACACAGATTGAGTTGGGGGTGTAGTACTATATAGTGTATAGTATATGGGTAGGGCACGAGCGTGGCAGAGTGCAGGTGCTAATCGGAGCTGCGGAGACAAATCCATTTCCATCATCGCCGTATCTCAATCAGCGTGATTCACTCTTCAACCCGCGATATAAAAAACCCATGTACGCTGTCGCTCTTTAGCTTTAATTTTGTTAAGCTGTATTTCGGCTTTTTTGTTTTTTGTTTTATTATTTCTTCAATTTATTCGTTCGACGTGCGATATGAAGGTTTTTTTATTCGTACACAAAGAAGACAACATTTTATTTACCGCCTTGACAAATGCAGTCAATCGCCAACGAAGAATCCATCAATTATTGAATAGTTTTCTTGGGTTTTTGTATGATATTTTTTTATTGTCTAGTTTTGCATTTGACATATTAGAGAAAGAACTCTCAGCGTGTCAATCCATCAAATTGTTTAGTATTTTGTTTTTGGGCTATCCGATTTCTAAAATGGTCAAAACGTTTTAGCCAAAGTTGATTGATCAGTTCTGTGTTTTTAGGGGAAAATATTAAAGGAAAAGGAGCTTTATGTTTATATGTAGATGAAGCTTGTACCAGTTGTTGATTATTTTAATAACATAATAATGATCGCGCCATTTTCTAGCTGCCAAATATTTCGCTATATTTTTGTGCATCTGTTGGCTATTATGTAAACATATCCAATGCAATTCCTTTCACTGCTGCATCTCAGTTTTGTGTGCCATTGATTTTGGGGCACAATCAATCAACAGACATTGCACAGTCGAAGACTCTTTATGAGTCACACTTTGACTCCAGTTTCGAAGACCGAACTCTCGCTTCTTTTTGAGTCATGAACTTGTTGGCGGGTGGATGGTCTAAAACTCTTAAACTCCGCAAAGAAAGAGGCCTTTTGTTTATGCCTCTTTTTTTTTAAAGGGGAACTGTGGCATCTTCCGTGGCACGATAACGTGTCTTACTTTTACCACTCCACCTACAAGCTAGATAAAAACCTAGTCTTTTCTTTCATTTTGTCTTTAATCGCATTATTTGGGCTACAAGGTTTATGGATGATTGAATTTATTAAGGTTTTCCGAGGAATCGTAGGGGTTTTTTCGGTTTTGAATTCGGCTTAGTAGGGTCGGCGCATGCGCACGCGTTTCTTTGGCGTTTCCGCTATTACAATCTGACTCATAAAACTGAAGATCTTGCAATCTGCGTACCAAAGACAACCATGGCCACAGACTCCAAGACTGGTCTTTGGTCTGCCATGAAAATATGTTCTGGTCTATTATCTAAGTTGCAAGATGATTTGGACTTTTCTTCAAAACGTTGCCTGCATTTGTCATTCCAATTGAGGTAAGTCTGAGACAGTACACCACAGGGTGTTTCGAGTGTGGAAATCTGAGAATCAAATCGGAGAATTGAAAATCTCAAAACAAGAGAGAGAGAGAGAGAGAGAGAGCCGTTTACCTGCTCGGCCAAGACATTTACCTGTTTGCCCTACTACAAGACAAACTCCCCCGTTTTTGGATTCGGCTTGGGTACGGTTCGGGTTTTGGGCTTGCTCAGGTGAGTTCGCTGTTGATATAACTGAAGTTCTTGTTCCCCTGGAAAACCAGTTTCTACAGAGAGCCACTCACTGCTTTGGCCACTCTCTTGGTCATACATACATCTCTTGCCCTCTCTCATTTTGGATGGCCAAAAGCCAAGCGACCAAACGAGTTTCAGTTGCGAGGCAAATTTACCAGTCGGCGGACGTGTTTTTATCGGCGGTCGGTCGCTTTAACCATAGAACCCAGCCAGAATGGAATATCATTTGAAACCAGAGTGAAGAATTGCGCGCGCGGCAAAAAGAACAAACGCTGATCCCTAATAAGTTAAAAAAAACTCATATTTTTTTCTGGTGCCTGAAAAAGTTTACCCTAAAAGATTTAGCAAACATAAAGAGCTTCGGAGTTGTGTGCTAAAGTCAAGATAAATCATTGGAATTAATATATATACACAAAGAAAAAAAAACAAATGTTTGCGTAAGTTGAAAACTCAAACAAAAGTTGAAACAGAACTCAAGTTTTTGGCCAGTTTTTTGGGTTTGGTTTTTGGAAGAGAATAAATTGACACAAAGGAGTTTGAGATCTCAGTTTGGTGTTGTTCACATGGAATTACCAGTTTTTGTGTTTTTTCTCTGATTATTGATTCTTTGATATTCGACGAGCATGTGGGTCCGGTGGGTCCGCTTCAAAAATCATAGCGGTCCAAATGGCTTAAGACCGACAACCGCCAACTGCCAACTTGTTTTTTCCTCACCTTTTGTGAAGATCTTTTGGTATGTAAATGCCTGGCAGCCCGCAGCCTTCGTGGAAACCTGCTACGAACGGGTACAGTGGGCACTCGTCTAATGCATTTATGCTGCTTATTAAAAATTAATCTGAGCGCCGCACGCAGGCTCTTTTTCGCATAGCCAAGCTATATATTTATTTCTCAAGACCCATGGGTTTCCCCAGGGAAAGTCCAGGGAATCACGCGATCGCGATCTTTAAGTGCGATTTTTTCGCTTGTGGACTTAAAAGGGGAGTGTTTCTGTTAGAGTTTTCAATTTGCATGGACACTCCACTCCCTCAATTGAAATGCATGCCATGGGTTCCTTCTTTCGGCCCAAGCCATATGTCACTAGCCCAGCCATCCACCATCATTATCATCATCGTGATTATCATGGCCATCAGAATGCCGCGACTTCTTCGTCTTCAACTTGTTCTTGGACTTTTTTGCCCCAATCGAATATTAAGCGGCAGATTTGTATATTTATGGGTAATTCTTGGGCCTCCAACGCCTGCCTGGCATATGTAAATATGTGAGGAGAAAAATATAGCCATTAGGCAGCCATTAAGCAGTCGCCTCACGTGCGGCAATCACAGGTTGCTACAGGTTGCACAGGTTACACTGCCCCTTTCACCTTTCAATGCAGACGAATAGCACTTGTTTTTTTGTATATGACAGTGTTTCCTATTTAATACACTTTAAAATATTCATATTTTAAGAGCTAAAATGGTTTATATTCTAAAAGCGTTACAACGATAAACTTTGAATAACTAAATCAAACATATCAAATGTATATATTTCAAGGGCTTTCTTTTACTATACATCCGTGCAATTGTACACCATTTTTATTGCTATCTCTGCCTGTTTTGTATAGAAACTCACCAGCTTGGTTTCCCATTATTCCCAATCACAAAGCATAGGAATACTTCTTGCCATGTACCTTCCTTTTTCTATGCCTCATTTATCAGCTTGCCATCGCTGTTTTCGCTGTTGGATTCTCGGCTTGAGACATCTGCAACCCGGGTTGCAAGTTGTTAGTTGCAGGTTGCTGATTTTCTGGTTGCTGGTTGCTAGTGGGTTGTTGCACGTGTGTTGTTCCCACATTTGGACCGACTACAGGTAGACTCGCTCTTTGTCTCAATCTGGCTGAGAAAAAGGTCAGTTCTGGCTCTTTGTTGCCTCTGTAATTGCGGAAGCAGATACATTCAGCTAAAGCTAGCGTTTAGGCCCCCGCTTGTGGCTTAACAATTAAAGTCCATAAATCATCAAGTTTGCAAAAGAAAAATAATATAAAACAAAAACAAACAAAAAAGAGCGAATAAAACAACAACAGAAGCCAGCAGCAATAATAAGAAGTAATAATAATAAATGGAAACATTTAGCTGCAGGCCAGTTTGTGTTGCCAACTTGTTTTGCATTTGAGAAACAGCTCCCCAAAGCTCTCAATACGTTTCTGTTTCTGTATCTGTATCTCTAACTCTGGTGTGTATCTACGATCGGTTTTGAGGTGTGCAAAGCTAAAGTCCCAAAGCCCCCGATCTATAAATAGTGTCGGCTGGGGTCTCAAGGACTGCCAGTTCAGTTTCCCCGCCAAGTGTCGCCTCATCGAATCGACCCGAGACTCGAGACTCGACTTACAAATCAAAGGCGAGCGAAATCCGAAAGAGCAAATCAAACTCGAGTCTGAAGACATGATCCACAAAATGGAGGGCAAAACATCAGACTATTGCGATGCACTACTGGCAAATTGAAATTACCCTGCTGGAATTTATATTTGCAAATAAAACACAAGAAATGAAATAGCTAAAGATCAAATAGTGGCTAAACTAAAAGAAGACTAACATTTTTAGCAAATTATTTAGTTCCACAGAAAACATTATTTTCTTAATGTATTTCTTGATATTTATAGCATCACTTTAATTTAGCAGTTAAATTGCAGTAGGGAGATTAAACTTAACACACATTTAGCAAGACATTTTCATTTGTAGAAGACACCGAAGCAGCTTCATTTCAAGTTTGCTATTGCAAGCCGGAGTGATCGCATTTCACGATCAATCCCTTGGGCTTTTGCAGTTGCGCACTTGGCGCAAATTGTTGGTCAATTGCCGACTAATTACATGGCCTAAATGATTCGCCAACTTCCACTTTTTATGTGGCAACATGTTGGTCCAGTGGTTCAGTTTCTGTTTGGTGGCCCAAAAGCGGGAATTAAAGAGCGTGACGTTTGATTTTTGTGCCCCCGGACTAATTAGCATGCAACTGTTTTGTCCATTGAATGGGCAATTATATAACAACTGAAGAGGGCAGGAACCACTGCACTCTACCTGGAAAAACAATTAGGAGGGGATACGACCCAAGTACAACAAAAAACAAATAAATAAAACTGGAAATCAGTGAGTTTTCCCTGTCCCAACTTCCGCTCGCCAACGGCGGCTTTTCCGCTTATTAAACATTTTTTATGTTTCGGGCCAGATCGCTGGCCATAAAATCCAAAATTGTCACCCAAAAGTGCAGTCACCTCTGGGCGAATGCCTCCATTTTCTATTTTGTGCGAGAGTAAAAAAAAACATCAATATTTTCAATGTTTATGGAACTTAAAACGTATACACATATATTAATTGATTTTGAGGATAGGTTTTTCGAACGTTTTCGTATGCAAATTCATCTTGCCACCCTTTATTGCCTGTTGTTTGCTGTATATTTTGTGTGCATTTTTCTCTACTTGAACTTGAACACTTAGTCATGCAGCACAGTGTAGGCAACTGCAAACTGATGAACTCACAACTCAAACTCCTTCCTCTCAACCTTTCTCCCTTTTCCCGTTCGAAAACTCAAACAGTTGACAAGTGTTAATTGCGCCGATTCTAGTCCCAATTCGGTTCCAAGTATTGCGTGTGCAACCCCGATCTTTTGTGTATTTTTGCATTTACTTATTGGGACTCAGGTAAATGCATAAGCACTTGAAGAATATTCAATTAATATTTATTAAATCTTTCTATATATTTTACATACAGAGCACATTAATGGTTATTATCAGAACGATATAAATAATTAACTTATATTTCTGATATATTTTCCTAATTAAATTAATACATTTTTAAAAGCTTTAAGCATGGTTCTTGAAAGTCACGAATATTGTGTTCTGTGCATATTGGCCTGTATTTTTGGTCGTCTCATTGTTCGTGTCGGATTGCCGTTGCTTTGGGCCAAACAATTGTAATTGACAGCAGAAACGGCAAAAGGCGTTTACAGATCTCAGCCATATGTCGCATATGGCGTCATAATGTAACCCCTGAAAGCCCCTCGTATCCCCTGGAACTCCATTTAAGTTGGACTGGAGCCCCGGGTCTCGGGTTCTATCGAGTGGCACTTTATTTTCAAGGCGTCAGCGGTTGTCAGGCGGCAACATTAGACCGCTTTACCGCTCGGCGCTTACCGCTTACTGCTTAACGCTGCACATGCAATTTGCTGTTCAGTTTTTTCTTCAGTTTTAAGAAACCGCTGAATCGCCTGAGTTTTCTGGGGCTAGAGAACTTTGTCTCGATGGATTGGATTATGGACCGGTTTGGCTGGCGAAACTTTCGATTGGCCGCAAATGAGGTCGAGAGCAGGCCAAAAGCGAAAGTCAAGTCCAGTCCAGTTGAGTTCAGGCTTAGGGTGTGCCAAATGATGGTCCGAGAAACCTGTCGCAGCTGTTATCGATCCATACGACATGCCAAGAAGTACCTTTAATTGCCTGGTAGTATTGCTATTAAACTTCCTCTTTAATTGCTGAGGGTTGCAGTTTGTAATTTGACGTTTGTGTTTTTTTGTGGGCTGACTTTGCACTTCTGTTTGCACTTCCGTTGGCTGACTTCCCCTTTTGGTTTATTCCTGCTGACTAGAGAATATAACACTTAACACCCTGCCTGGCCAAAAACTTGAGAGCTATAAAAAAAAAATCAAAAAGGAAGGGCGAAAGCTAAGCAATTTTTTTTACCGAAATTTTCACAGTGCCATGTTGGTTGATAGACAACATTAAGGCTCTGATTACCAGACTACAACAAGATGATCAAGTTCCGCTACAAGAGGAAAGAACCCACCAATTTGGTGGGAGTTGTGGCTCCGTCAGGAGCTGGAGGAGCAGTACTTTCAGGAACGGGATTAGGAGGAGGAACAGGATCACCAAATACCACAACCACATCATCGACATCTCCTGTTACCGTTCCTGTTCAAATAGTTCACCCCCAACTGAATCACCTGATCAGCAACAATGGCGGCACTCTGCCAAGGAGTAGCCCCCGCAAACTTATCCTCGATGGAGCCGACAAGTCGGCCACTTTAACTCGCCAACAGTCGAAGCAGAAGTCGGTCAGTGCCATGGCCAAAGTGGCCAGTAGCGTGGAATTGGCTGTACTGGGCTATAACAATAATAGCAATGGCAATATTAATGGCAGCAATATTAGCGTCGCGGGAAACTCAGAACGGGATCGATGCATTAATGCAGTTATTGTAAGTCCAGGGAAAATTATAACATACGGAAATCATAATTCTAAATAAGATGAAACCGAGTATAAATGAACGAATCATAGAAGTGCATAGTATTAGTTAGATTAATGCTTCTTTTAAATTATTATAATTTTCTTCACAAGTTTTAGTTATGTATATGGTAATCACTTTAAGCATTACTTATGTAATACAGGAAGTACTGAATATTTACCAGCTGCAGTAACCACTGATTAGTTTTTAAAACGCAGTAGGCTTGTAAGATTACTCAGCAATGTCTTTAGTTAAAAAAGTTAACAAAATTTGTATACAAATTTCTTAAGTATAATGCTAACCACTATTTTTTTTTTTCATCATAAAACAGGAACTCTTCCAACAGCTGCAGACCAGTTCTGAGCCCGCTTTGTGTCCGGAGCCACTGCGCCGGGCCTTGGCAAGTGGTCCGTTAGCAGGACGACGATTCCCACTCGGATGTTTGGGTGATGCCGCCGAGTGCTTTGAACTTCTGCTACACCGCGTCCACTCGCACATTTCATCAGATGATGGCGATTCCTGTGAATCCTCCGCCTGCATCGCCCACCGAAGATTCGCCATGCGTGTCATCGAACAGAGCGTCTGCAAGTGCGGAGCCAACTCCGAGCAGCTGCCCTTCACACAGGTAAGTTATTGATCCAGTTTTAGGCATGATTTTATAAACACCTAGCTAATATGACCGAAATTCAGCAAAAGGTTAATTTACTTCATTTAGAAATCAAGTCATAATTAGAATACAATGAGGAGCTCATTAAAAATTTGAAGTAATAAGGATTAAAAATTTATAAGCGGAAGAGATTGAAAGTTCTTAAATATGGCTCATTTTAAGATCTGTTTTGTATTTGTTAATACCCACCTGACTTGTTTCTCTGTTTTGTGTTCTACTTTCGCATACTATTTGCATCTTTAAAGTTCACCTTATTAAGCCTGATTAACTTTTGGCAGTAAGCTTAGATCTAACCTTTTTCCAAAGTTACCAAAATTAACTAAAGTGTTTATGCAAAAGCTTTAGGTAAGATATATATTACATTAGCTTAAAAACAATCCTTGAACTTTTCTGCGAGTGTAGGCAACCCGTTTGTTTGTTCCCCCAATTGCTGTTGCCCAAATGCTATGGACCGCTAATAGCAGATACGATCGGAGATCGAATCAGATTCGAGCTCGTGGCGTGGGTTCCAGTTTGGAACACAGAACACCTGCAACATTCGATGTTGCACTTACGGTGTCTTTAAATTCTTAAATCTCTTAACTGTCTGCCACTTGTCTCTCCGTCCGAGAACAGTTAGTTGGGTGATTATTAGCGATCTGGTCTGAGCAAACAGGTTATGGGTTATTGTCGGGCACATGCAGATCATTGCAGAATCAGCTACCGGACCAGTTGGTCCCTTAAAAGGGGCAAGATTATCGATAAATGTATACATTTTAGGGTGACGTAAGCACGTGCCAGCAGAATCAGTTGAAAATTTGTGGGCGTAGGACTTCCGTCTTGACCATATTCCGCAGATGGCTAATTGACTTCTAATCTCTGTTCTCCCACAGATGGTGCACTATGTCTCCGCCTCGGCCTTAACCTCTCAAAAGAGTCTGGCTCTGCAATCCCACCAGCAGTTGAGTTTTGGCCAACTTTTAAGGGCCGCCGGCAACATGGGCGACATTCGCGATTGTCCGGTAAGTTGTCAGACTAACGTTAGTATATCTGCAAGCCTTACCAATATTTTATATTTTTCAATAGAACACATGTGGCGCCAAAATTGGGATATGCAGGGCCCTGCTCAATCGCCCGGATGTAGTGTCCATTGGCATTGTTTGGGACTCAGAGCGGCCAGCGGCGGATCAGGTTCATGCTGTTCTAAAGGCCGTGGGCACCAGTTTGAGACTGGGTGATGTTTTCCACCAAGTCAGCGAACAGCGATGGGCGCAGCAGACCCAACACGAACTGGTGGGCATCGTGTCCTACTACGGCAAGCATTACACCACCTTCTTTTTCCACACAAAGCTCAAAGTTTGGGTCTACTTTGATGATGCGAACGTAAAGGAAGTTGGTCCCAGCTGGGAGGGTGTGGTGGACAAGTGCAGTCGTGGAAGATATCAGCCACTCCTGCTGCTCTACGCGGTTCCACAGCAGCCTGCGTTGGGAAACGGTGGTGGTGTCAATCACGTGGACGTTGCCATGCCGGCCAGTGCACCAGCCAATGGTGCTTCTGTGGTTCGCCGAGCAGTGACCCCGAGCCCAGAGAAGCCTAGTTTGGGCAACACAAGAAGGGCAATTACCCCGACTCCCCTGAGGACACCCACCAATGATTATCAGAACCTGAGTGTGATCCAAAAGAACATATTTTCGGGCAGTCTGGCCATGGGCACCGATGAAACGGATGCCTATATTAGCCGCAAAACGGTGGAGCATGTGCTGAGTGCTCAGTACCAGAATCTCAGTGTGATTCAAGATAAGATTGGAGGAGGCAATGGTGTACCCGTCAGCCAGCAGAATGCGGACAAAGATGGAGGCTTTCTAAGTCGGAAACCCATCGAGGCGGTGTTGAGTGCCCAGTTAGCAAGAAGGCAACATTTGCAACTGCAGCGCAGCCACAGTGCGGAATCAAGCTCGGGACACGCCTCCTCCAACGGCAGTTCGCCTCCCAGCGATGGTCTCACCATGCCGGAGCATCTGAATCAGCCACGTCGTCGAGACTCGGGCAATTGGTCTGGAGATCGGAATAGCGCCAGTTCGGCAAGTTCTACCACGCTGGATAATCCCTACCTGTACATGGTAGCCAAGAGGGGCGTGGCAGCAGTGCCTCAGAGTCCTACGCGACATGGATTGCCCTATGATCCGGGCTACGACTCCTTTTCACTGAGCTCCACAGACTCATATCCACCCAAACATGCCTTGAATCCCCAGTTGGCCAAGATTCCCGAAGCCGCCATGGGTGTAGTTCAAAACGGTGGAGCAGTGGTAAACCACGGACATGGTCATGGACAGTTGGCCCTGTCCGGGGATTGCGAAAAACTCTGCCACGAAGCGGATCAGTTGCTGGAGAAGTCGCGGTTGGTTGAGGAGTCGCATGATCTGGAAACAGCCCTAGTGCTTTGCAATGCGGCAGCTGGTAGGGCGCGGGCGGCCATGGATGCACCGTACAGCAATCCCCACACGATGACCTTTGCCCGGATGAAGCACAATACTTGCGTAATGCGAGCTCGGAGTCTGCACCGTCGGATTCTGGTGGAGAAGGGCGCCGAAACCGAGGCCATGCCGGAGCTTAAGCACATGCGCGAAGGTAGCACGAGTAGTGTGAAGCACGTCCGCCAAAATAGTAAGGATCGGACACTGGAGAAGGAGCAGCAGATGCAGTTCCAGCAAATTCAGCAGATTCAGCAAATCCAGCAGATCCAACAGCAGATTCCCGCCAGCATCGAGATCTATGCCACGCTGCCGAAGCGCAAGAGTCCCCTGAAGGCCTTGGCCTCAGCTTCCACCTGTGATGACAATGCCATTGAGTACGAGCAGGAAAAGCAGTTGGCCGCCAGTCCAGGAAAACCAGAGAGGGAGAGTCGCTCCCTGTTCGGTCGCAAGGACAAGGAGAAGGAGAAGCGTAGTCGCAGCGAGGATCGCAACAAGCTTACACGCGAATTTTCACTCACGGAAACGCTTCTTGTTAATGCCAAGGACACGTTAAAGAAGCATAAAGAGGATAAGGACGAGAAGAAGGAGAAGGACAAGAGCGGCAAGAAGCAGCACAAGATCAGGCGCAAACTGCTGATGGGTGGGCTCATCCGTCGGAAGAATCGCTCCATGCCGGATCTCACCGAGGCGGTAGACGACGTGGCAGCCAATGCTAGTATGACCCATCATCCGCATTATCCTGTCCAGGGCGTGACGACCGCGGGAACCCTGTTGGGTAGCTCTGTAGACGACAGTGCCGTGGGTTTGGGTAAGCACGGGCACGGCATGAGTGGCTACATCTCTGAGGGTCACTTTGATTATCCAGGATCCGGATCGGGCTCGAATTCAGGAGCTGGTAGCAATCCAAATCCAAACCTGGAGAGAAGCAAGCTGATGCGCAAAAGCTTTCACGGCAGTGGAAGACAATTGACTATGGTGCCTAAGGTGGCACCACCGCCGCCTATGAGAACCAGTTCCACTTTGACCCCGCAGCAGCAACAACAGCAGTTCCACCATGAGGCCAATTTGTCCAATCTGTCGGCCATGAGCTCGAACACCTCGATTAGCGAGGATTCCTGCCAGACGATCATCACCACCTGCGCCCAGGTGCATTCGGAGCAAAGCCCTCTTAAGGATCTGCAAATGTTGGCTGGCCAGGAAGAGTTGCCACTACCACCACCCATGGAACTGCCTCCATATCCGAGTCCGCCACACTCTGCTTGTCATTCGCGACAGGCCAGCGAGGATTTCCCACCACCACCACCCCCAGAATTGGATCTGGAACCACTCAACCAGCAATTAAGTCAGCTACAGGCCTTGGAGGCAGCCAGTAAGCACCAGCGCCAGCAATTAGATTCCTTGGAGGGCACCACCAGCATTTTGGCCCAGTTGCAGCAGCGCCAGCATCTTCTGAAGTTAAGAAAGGAACAGGCCAATCATTTAGGAGCAGGTACAGCAGATGCTACCTGGCTAAAGGAGCTGCAAGCGAAGCAGGCCAGTGATCTGAGGGCTATGCAACGAAAACTGGAGGCCTCATCGCCATCTAGTGTGAGGGATTTGGCCCATCGCTTTGAGCAAACATCCATACGATCGTATGCCTCACAGGAGTTGTTGTCTCAACCAGGACAGGGTCAGCAGACAGGACAGCTGCGTACTCAGATGAACGGGCTACCCAGTGCCAAAATAGATGTGGATGAGGTTGACTCAATGCCAACGTTGAGAAATTCTCTTCCCACCGCAGTCAGCGCCCACCAACTGCTGCCGAAGCCCAAATACGAAATGACCCAATCCCAGATTGCCGAGGAGATACGCGAGGTGGAGCTGCTCAACACAATGGTGCAGCAGACATTGAACCAAAATGGAGTTGCTGCCCCACCGAAGAGGGTGAAGAAAAAGAGTGTTTCTTTCTGCGATCAGGTAATCCTGGTTGCCACTGCTGGAAACGAGGAGGATGATGACTTTATACCCAATCCCATATTGGAGAGGGTGCTACGGACTGCTCAGCATCCCAACGAGAAAGTCACCGCCCAAATGATACAGCAGCAGCAGCAGAATATGATGCGTTTGCAGACAGAAGCGCAGCCACGGCAACAGCAACTGCAACAACTGCAACAGCAACAGCAATTGCAGCAGCAGCCATCGCCCATGTTGGGCAGACCACCGGCAGCCACAGCAGATATGCAGCGATATGTGCAAAGGATGCATTATCAGCAGCAGCAGCAACAGCAACAACAACAGCAACAACAACAGCAACAACAACAGCAACAACAACAACAGCAGCAACAAGAACTGCATCACCAGCAGCAGCAACATCGTACCAGTATGAGCGGTATTGCGAGCCAGCAGCATTTGCAGCAATTAGATGCTCAGTATACCTCCATGCCGCGCCTTATGTATCATCCTCAACCAGGCAACTACTATGGTCCATTACAGAAACACCAGCAATTGCAGCAGCAACAGCTACAGCAACAACAGCAACAGCAACAGCAGGCTTCACAGCAACTCAGCTTGGGTTACTTTAGCAATGGCAATGCGGGAAATTCCGAGCAAGTGCCTCTACCTTCGCCTTATCAGCGTGTACCCCTACCACATGGATATCAGCCGGCTGCAGCAGGATCCTACTATCCATTACCTAATGCCCAGCAGCAGCAACAATTGCAGCATCAGCTGCAACAGCAACAACAACTGATGGCCAAGCCAGTGCAAAAAAAGGTGAGCTTTGAACCGGGAACCAAGGGAGAATCCGATTACATGCCACCACCACCGCCACCACCGCAAAAGAATGGATTGCCCGAGGCAGGGTCATCAGGATCAGGACTTCCGGGAGCCACACCTGGAGCCTCGGCAGCGGGGGCCACTTCCTCGGCTGCTATCACCGCCATACCTACCCGCGTCTACAACAATGCCATTGTCAAGGCCTCGGCCAAAGCCGTCGAGTGCAACTTATGCCGCAAGCGCCATGTGATCGCTCCGGCGGTATATTGCACGAACTGCGAGTACTACCTGCAAATGCTGAATCAGCGCAGATGATGAAGATTCGACCTCCGACCATCTCTAGTGCAACTTTCTAGCCGTACATGGAACCCGTTAATCTCAAGCAATGCAATGCTGCCACGTCGCCAATAAGGATCCGCCAAGGATGTACATAGCATGGTTATAAATACATAGATGTAATGATATTAGGATGGATGAAAGGTGCCAGGCGCAGCAATGATTTCAGGACTTAAGAAATAGCGGAACGCAAAAACGGAGGGGGAACACAGTCCTTCTATGGTTCCACATGAGAAGTTTCCGCTGTGATACATTACCCACCCACCAATGCCACCACCACTCACTAATCACATCAGTGTCAATGTCCCCCAGCACACGCACACAAGCATATTGTACACGCCCATCCACACCTACATATATACTTGCTAGGAATTGAGTTGTTCGTGAACGATGCAGCGAATTGAATAGTAAATTCTAGCCGCAGCATCCTCAACACCACCCGTCGCCCCATTGGACATCGATCGCCTGACTAAACGCATTCCCAGATACTAATACACCCAAAGCCTGGACAGCCGTTCTCCTCCATCAATCAAATGTTTTTTTTTTTTGACAACGAATTTGAATTACTTTTTTTCACAAGTTAACTATAAATATTTTTATGTGTGTGACGTCAGAAGTTTGAAACTCAGTCGTTGAGCTTCCTTGTGCGTGCTGTTGTCCAACGACACTCGCATTTCCATTTTTTTTTAAATATTTTTTTTATAAGTTTTAGTATAGCCATAGTAATAATTTTTTTCTATTTTCGTACTTAATGAGTTTTAGATTATCTAAGAGTATTTTTTGTGTTTTATGCATTTAAACGATTCCGTGTATTTATAGTGTTTATATATACTTATAAAGATATAAATTATAAAGATATTCAAATGAAAATATATGAAGAAAAGAGATGCGTGTCATCCGCAAAAATGGTAAAATATTATTTTTTTAATAAATATGTACAATAAAAGGAGTGTAATTATTCGTTTGTGGTAAAACATATTTATCCTACCATAAAACTTTAAAAAAAGTTAAATGAAAAGCTAATCGCTGAGGAAACCATTGTCAGAATGAGCTTAAGGAGGCTCTTATATTGCTTAGTTTCTTTGTCATAGCATAGCGTCTTGTTTCGACAAAGTTAGAGCTAAAATATCATAGCAATCAACTTATAAGCCCTACGAGGTATTACATTCCTCATTTGGACCATTTTTGGCTGTGCTATGGCTAAAGAACTGATTTTTTATGCCCGAAATTATGCTACGTCCTTTGACAGCAGAGAACACGGCTTTCTTGCCGTTTCTTAGATCTTACTTTGTCAAAACAAGCCGCACAGCTAAAACAATGACTGTTTTGTGCAGCTTACTATCGAAGCTTAAAACCCTTATACTTGCTTTTATCATTATTGCTCTGATTTTTTGATGAGAGCTCTAATTTAAGGACTGAAAAATCAGGAAACCCATTTTTAAAAGCAATTTGCAACTTTTATTGCGGGTTTTTAGCTCTAGCTCGGCCAAAACAAGACGCACAGCCAAAAAAACGACTGTTTTGTGCTGCTAACGACCAACACTAACTACCCCTATCACTCGTTTTCCATTTTGGGAAAGTCAATTTTGGCCCAAATTCGCATTTTTGGTAAGGGGTACCATCATCAAAATTTTCAAAAATGGGGCACAAATGAAGTTTCCCAGATTTGAATGCAAGCCAATTGGGAATCATGGCAATCAAGTTACGAGCCCTACGAGGTATTACATTCCTCATTTGGACCAGTTTTGGCTGTGCTATGGCCAAAGAACTGATTTTTTATGCCCGAAATTATGATACGTCCTTTGACAGCACAGAGCACGGCCTTGTTGCCGTTTCTTAGCTCTAACTTTGTCAAAACAAGCCGCAAAGCTAAAACAATGACTGTTTTGTGCAGCTTACTATCGAAGCTTAAAACCCTCATACTTGCTTTTATCATTATTGCTCTGATTTTTTGATGCGAGCTCTAATTTAAGGACTGAAAAATCAGGAAACCCATTTTTAACAGAAATTTGCAGCTTTTATTGCGGGTTTTTAGCTCTAGCTCGGCCAAAACAAGACGCACAGCCAAAAAAACGACTGTTTTGTGCTGCTAACGACCAACACTAACTACCCCTATCACTGGTTTTTCGATTTTGGGAAAGTCCATTTTGGCCCAAATTTCGCATTTTTGATAAGGGGTACCATCATCAAAATTTTCGAAAATGGGCCAAAAATGAAGTTTCCCAGATTTGAATGCAAGCCAATTGGGAATCATGGTAATCAAGTTACGAGCCCTACGAGGTATTACATTCCTCATTTGGACCAGTTTTGGCTGTGCTATGGCCAAAGAACTGATTTTTTATGCCCGAAATTATGCTACGTCCTTTGACAGCACAGAGCACGGCCGTGTTGCCGTTTCTTAGCTCTAACTTTGTCAAAACAAGCCGCACAGCTAAAACAATGACTGTTTTGTGCAGCTTACAACCAACACTTTAAGCCCCTATACCTACTTTTTACATTAGTGTACTGCTCTTTTGCTGCGAGTGCTGATTTAATCGCAAAATAATCAAAATTCAATATTTGTTGCGGTTTTTTAGCTCTAACTTTGTCAAAACAAGCCGCACAGCTAAAACAATGACTGTTTTGTGCAGCTTACAACCAACACTTTAAGCCCCTATACCCACTTTTTACATTAGTGTACTGCTCTTTTGCTGCGAGTGCTGATTTAATCGCAAAATAATCAAAATTCAATATTTGTTGCGGTTTTTTAGCTCTAACTTTGTCAAAACAAGCCGCACAGCTAAAACAATGACTGTTTTGTGCAGCTTACTATCGAAGCTTAAAACCCTTATACTTGCTTTTATCATTATTGCTCTGATTTTTTGATGCGAGCTCTAATTTAAGGACTGAAAAATCAGGAAACCCATTTTTAACAGAAATTTGCAGCTTTTATTGCGGGTTTTTAGCTCTAGCTCGGCCAAAACAAGACGCACAGCCAAAAAAACGACTGTTTTGTGCTGCTAACGACCAACACTAACTACCCCTATCACTCGTTTTTCGATTTTGGGAAAGTCAATTTTGGCCCAAATTTGCATTTTTGGTAAGGGGTACCATCATCAAAATTTTCGAAAATGGGCCAAAAATGAAGTTTCCCAGATTTGAATGCAAACCAATTGGGAATCATGGCAATCAAGTTACGAGCCCTACGAGGTATTACATTCCTCATTTGGACCAGTTTTGGCTGTGCTATGGCCAAAGAACTGATTTTTATGCTTTATTATGCTACGTCCTTTGACAGCACAGAGCACGGCCTTGTTGCCGTTTCTTAGCTCTAACTTTGTCAAAACAAGCCGCACAGCTAAGACAATGACTGTTTTGTGCAGCTTACTATCGAAGCTTAAAACCTTAATACTTGCTTTTATCATTATTGCTCTGATTTTTTGATGCGAGCTCTAATTTAAGGACTGAAAAATCAGGAAACCCATTTTTAACAGAAATTTGCAACTTTTATTGCGGGTTTTTAGCTCTAGCTCGGCCAAAACAAGACGCACAGCCAAAAAAACGACTGTTTTGTGCTGCTAACGACCAACACTAACTACCCCTATCACTCGTTTTTCGATTTTGGGAAAGTCAATTTTGGCCCAAATTTGCATTTTTGGTAAGGGGTACCATCATCAAAATTTTCGAAAATGGGCCAAAAATGAAGTTTCCCAGATTTGAATGCAACCCAATTGGGAATCATGGCAATCAAGTTACGAGCCCTACGAGCTATTACATTCCTCATTTGGACCAGTTTTGGCTGTGCTATGGCCAAAGAACTGATTTTTATGCTTTATTATGCTACGTCCTTTGACAGCACAGAGCACGGCCTTGTTGCCGTTTCTTAGCTCTAACATTGTCAAAAAAAGCCGCACAGCTAAAACAATGACTGTTTTGTGCAGCTTACTATCGAAGCTTAAAACCTTAATACTTGCTTTTATCATTATTGCTCTGATTTTTTGATGCGAGCTCTAATTTAAGGACTGAAAAATCAGGAAACCCATTTTTAACAGAAATTTGCAACTTTTATTGCGGGTTTTTAGCTCTAGCTCGGCCAAAACAAGACGCACAGCCAAAAAAACGACTGTTTTGTGCTGCTAACGACCAACACTAACTACCCCTATCACTCGTTTTTCGATTTTGGGAAAGTCAATTTTGGCCCAAATTTGCATTTTTGGTAAGGGGTACCATCATCAAAATTTTCAAAAATGGGCCAAAAATTAAGTTTCCCAGATTTGAATGCAAACCAATTGGGAATCATGGCAATCAAGTTACGAGCCCTACGAGCTATTACATTCCTCATTTGGACCAGTTTTGGCTGTGCTATGGCCAAAGAACTGATTTTTTATGCCCGAAATTATGCTACGTCCTTTGACAGCACAGAGCACGGCCTTGTTGCCGTTTCTTAGCTCTAACATTGTCAAAAAAAGCCGCACAGCTAAAACAATGACTGTTTTGTGCAGCTTACTATCGAAGCTTAAAACCCTTATACTTGCTTTTATCATTATTGCTCTGATTTTTTGATGCGAGCTCTAATTTAAGGACTGAAAAATCAGGAAACCCATTTTTAACAGAAATTTGCAACTTTTATTGCGGGTTTTTAGCTCTAGCTCGGCCAAAACAAGACGCACAGCCAAAAAAACGACTGTTTTGTGCTGCTAACGACCAACACTAACTACCCCTATCACTCGTTTTTCGATTTTGGGAAAGTCAATTTTGGCCCAAATTTGCATTTTTGGTAAGGGGTACCATCATCAAAATTTTCGAAAATGGGCCAAAAATGAAGTTTCCCAGATTTGAATGCAAACCAATTGGGAATCATGGCAATCAAGTTACGAGCCCTACGAGCTATTACATTCCTCATTTGGACCAGTTTTGGCTGTGCTATGGCCAAAGAACTGATTTTTTATGCCCGAAATTATGCTACGTCCTTTGACAGCACAGAGCACGGCCTTGTTGCCGTTTCTTAGCTCTAACATTGTCAAAAAAAGCCGCACAGCTAAAACAATGACTGTTTTGTGCAGCTTACTATCGAAGCTTAAAACCTTAATACTTGCTTTTATCATTATTGCTCTGATTTTTTGATGCGAGCTCTAATTTAAGGACTGAAAAATCAGGAAACCCATTTTTAACAGAAATTTGCAACTTTTATTGCGGGTTTTTAGCTCTAGCTCGGCCAAAACAAGACGCACAGCCAAAAAAACGACTGTTTTGTGCTGCTAACGACCAACACTAACTACCCCTATCACTCGTTTTTCGATTTTGGGAAAGTCAATTTTGGCCCAAATTTGCATTTTTGGTATCATCAAAATTTTCGAAAATGGGCCAAAAATAAAGTTTCCCAGATTTGAATGCAAGCCAATTGGGAATCATGGCAATCAAGTTACGAGCCCTACGAGGTATTACATTCCTCATTTGGACCAGTTTTGGCTGTGCTATGGCCAAAGAACTGATTTTTTATGCCCGAAATTATGCTACGTCCTTTGACAGCACAGAGCACGGCCGTGTTGCCGTTTCTTAGCTCTAACTTTGTCAAAACAAGCCGCACAGCTAAAACAATGACTGTTTTGTGCAGCTTACAACCAACACTTTAAGCCCCTATACCCACTTTTTACATTAGTGTACTGCTCTTTTGCTGCGAGTGCTGATTTAATCGCAAAATAATCAAAATTCAATATTTGTTGCGGTTTTTTAGCTCTAACTTTGTCAAAACAAGCCGCACAGCTAAAACAATGACTGTTTTGTGCAGCTTACTATCGAAGCTTAAAACCCTTATACTTGCTTTTATCATTATTGCTCTGATTTTTTGATGAGAGCTCTAATTTAAGGACTGAAAAATCAGGAAACCCATTTTTAACAGAAATTTGCAGCTTTTATTGCGG